AAGTAGATACAAGAGACTAAACGGGCAGCTTTTGTCTGGAGGTGAGATGGGAAGGCAGAGAGGGTTAGGAGCTGGTTGAATGGACATGGGGAATCGGGTGGAAAGGAGGAGTGCGCTGTCACAGTATGGGGAGAGCAATCAGGGTCACATAACAATGTATGTATAAATTTTTGTATGGGAAAAAATTAAAAAATACAAAAAAATAAATAAAATAGTTGCTCCATCAGGAACAAGAGGATGATTGGCTGTGGTAAGAATTCTCACAGTGGCAAGGTGACTATATCTTTGCATTAAAAGGATAACTCAGTTGATATTTGGTATCCAGGTATTAGAGGGACTAGAAAAAAGTGGACATGGCCTTTGGGGAAACAAATATACAGAACCTTAAATTATGTACAGGAATGAGAGGTGGAAAGGGTCAGTAAGAATAAGGTAGTAGACACCTTGTTTCTGACAACTACATACTAAGTAAAAGCCCTACTCAGAGGGAAATCCACAGATTACTGTAAAGGTGATTACATTATAAATTCCATCTGCAAATTAAAAGGCTGACTTCACTGACTATGAATCAAAATTTCTAATACATTTCAAATTCTTAAATAGCTTAAGTGCATTTTTTTTTTTTTTCAAGCTGTGACTCCTTTTTGGCTGTTTAGAACTGCCAGTGCAAAAGAGGTGGACTTTGACCCATTCAAGGCAGGGAGATAGAACTAACGTTCTTGCTCCTCACCCCCTGCTCCCTCCTCCACCACTGCCACCCTGTAAAACTGAAACATTTGAAGAACTGAACTCCTAAAAAAAGAATGGACCAGAAAATATCATTCTACCGACAGGAAGAAGACAAGGCAGTTTGTCTGTCTCAGCTGGTCTCTGGGTGGCAAAATCACCTTTGAGAATTCATATATACAACAGGCCTCATTTAACTTATGTTTAAGGCCTCAATTTACATAATTTGCATGGTTTGGGAACCCCAAAGTCCTGAACTTAGCATAAAAGTGACCACCATATATCGCTAGGGCACTTGTTATTGTTGTGTGCCTTTGAGTTGATTCTGACTCACAGCAACCCTATATGACACAGCAGAACTGCCCCATAGGGTTTCCGACGCTGTAATCTTTATGGAAGCCGATTGCCAGGTCTTTTCTCCCTAGGACACTTAAACCAAAAAAACCAACCTGTTGCGTTGATCTTGACTCACAGCGACCTTACAGGACAGAGTAGAACTGCTGCATAGGGTTTCCAAGGAGGGGCTGGTGGATTTGAACTACTGACCATTTGGTTAACAGCTGAGTTCTTAACCACTATGCAACCAGGGCTTCAAAAATTCAGTAGATACCTTAAACAGTAGGCTGACACACCTGAAGAGGGAGATGTAGCAAATTGGTAGATTACTTATAGTGTAATATAAAGAGAAAAATGAGATGGAAAATATGAGAGATTTAGAATATGGAAAATAGAATGATCAAGTATAAGATAGATCTAATAGTAGTTCCTGAAAAAGAGAATTGAGAATGAACAGATAAAATATGTGAGAGATAATTCATTTAGAAATTTTCAGAATAGGTAAAAACTATACATATTTGGACCCAGGAAGCAAAATGAGTTCTTATCATGATTAAACACAATGTTGAGAAACTACAGACCACGAAAGACAAAATAATATCTTAAAGAATCCAGAGAGAAATAGATTAGCCACAAAGAAATAAACATTACAGCAGATTCTTAATTCTCAACAGCAACAATATAAGTTGAAAGATGATGAAATAAAGTCTTCAAAGTACAGAGATGAAATAAATATCTAACATTTAATTCTGCAGCCAGTTAAACAATTATCCAAAGGACAAATTAAAGACATTGTCAAACAACATCTAAGAACATGTGCTACTTTTGCTGCTGGAAAAAAACCTACTGAAGGATATACTTCAGGAATAAGGGCATAAAACCAAAAAGGAAGGAATAATGTACAAAAAATTTGTAAACATACAGGTAAATCTAAACAAGTATGGTGATTGCTAATCAGCGAATATAAAAATAAGTTAGGGAGGAGACTTCCATTAATGATGACATGAAGAGGTTAGCAATTTATTTCTGAAATTAAAGAAAAATATATAAAACTGGATAAAATAATAAAAGATAACCATTTCAGGACCTGCAAAGTGACAAAGGCAGACATCAAATTGAGAAGTTTTACTCCTGATTTGCTAGAGTTCTGGGTAGGAAGAGTAGGAGTCTGAGACTTTCCTACATAGGGTTGCTCTCATCCCCATGCCCAGCTCAGTTGGGAAAAACTATAGTTTTATCAGCACGCAGATAGACATGAAAACTAGCAGCTTTCCTGCCAGAGGGGGTGGATTTGATTTGGGGAAAAGGGAGAAAACCTTCTTTGCTGGCTAAAAGTAGCAGAAAGGTTTGGGAATGAACACAGAAAAATTACAGCTTTGCTAGTCTGAGGTTGCAGTCCTGGTTAGGGAAGTGGTAGACCAGCCAAAAACTTAAACGGAAGATCTGGAAATGAGGGAGCCATAAAAGGGTTGAGATAAGTTCTCCACATATTCATGGATAATTGGAAAGCATGCACAAGCAAGGAAGACTCATGAGAGTATGGCAAATACAGTAAAAATGCAGAGAGACTGAAAGACTTGAGAACTGGCTGTAACTTTGAATGCATTCCTCAACACTCCCCCCTCCACACCCAGGGTCACATGGCAAAGGGTGGAAGCATTACAGGCTTGGACACAAACTCTCACCAAATCATTAGGTGACTTCTAAGCTATGCAGGCACAGGGAAAACCTTAGGAAGGCAGGATTAAAAAAATAAAATGAAATAAAAAACTGATAAGAAACATTAACTGCTGCTAACCATGGGGCAGACAGATTCTACAGTTTGAGTACAGTAAATTATATTACAATAAAAACAAAACAAAACAAAACTCAAAAAACCAAAACCAAAACTGAATCCGGAGTTGCTATAATGTGTAATTTAAATGTCTAGTTTTCAAACAAAAATTACCAGACACGCAAAGAAACAAGAAAATATGACCCATATTCAGCAAAACAAGAAGTCAATTGAACTGCTTGGTTCCAGCCGTTGGATTTACAAAGTTCTCAAAGAAGCTATTATAAATATGTTTAAAGAATTAGAGAAAAGTATGACAATAATGTGTTACCTGTCATGGATTGAATTGTGTCCTCCCAAAAATATGTGCAACAATTTGGCTGGGCGATGATTCCCAGTATTGTGTGATTGTAATTTTATGTTATAGAGGATTGGGGTGGGATTATAACACCCTAAGGTCACATCCCTGATCCAATGTAAAAGCAGTTTTCTTGTGGTGTGGCCTGCACCACGTTTTATCTTACAAGAGATAAAAGGAAAGGGAAGCAAGCAGAGAGTTGGGGAACTCATACCATCAAGAAAGCAGTGCCGGGAGCACAGCACTTCCTTTGGACCCAGAGTCCCTGCGTGGAGAAGCTCCTAGTCCAGGGAGAGATTGATGAGAAGGCTGACAAAGAGAGAAAGCCTTTCCCTGGAGCTGATGCCCTGAATTTGGACTTTTAGCCTACTTTCTGTGAAGAAATAAATTTCTCTTTGTTAAAGCCATCCACCTGTGGTATTTCCGTTAAAGCATCACTAGATGACCAAGACACCACCTGGTAGAAAATATCCATAAAGAGATGGAATTTATTTTTAAATGGAAATTCTGGAACTGGAAAGTATAATAATTAAAATAAAAATTCACAAAAGAGGCTCAACAACATATTTCAGCTTGCAAGTATAACACATAAGAATCAGCAAACTTGACATTAGATTAAAACAGACGAATCAATCTGAAGAACAAAAAAAAGAAAAACAAAAAGAATGAATAAAAATGAACAGAGCCTCAGAAACCTATGGGATATCATCTAGAGTACCAACACATGCATAATGTGAGTCCTAGGAGGAAACGAGAGAAACAAAGGGGCAGAAAAATACTTGAGAATATAATGGTAGAAGATTCCCTAAATTTAATGAAAAACATTAACCTACTGATACAAGAAGCTCAACAAATCCCAACTGGAATAAACACACAGAGATGCACAACTACAGACATCATTGTCAAACTGATGAAAACCAAAGACAAACAGAAAATCTTGGGAGCAATAGAAACGACTCATCACATACAGGGAAATAATAATACAATTAACAGCAGCATTCTTATTGGAAACAATGGAGGCCAGAAGGGAGTGGAGTGACATATTGAAAATGCAGAAATAATAACTGTCAATCAAGAATTCTATATCCAGTAAAACTAAGCTAAAAAAAGAAGCTAAAATAAAGACATTTCCAGATAAATACAAATGGAGATAATTCATCCTCTCTAAAAACATCTGAAGAAAATGCTTTAAGTTGAAGGGAAATGATAGCAGATGGTAACCTGGATCCACAGGAAGGAATAAAAGGCACCAGAAATGGTAAATATATCAGTAAATATAAAAGATTGTGCATATATTTTCTCATTTCTTCTCTTAATTGCTTCAAAAAGCCTAAGACTGTTATAGCTTGATAACAATAGTTTTGAGTTTATAACACATAGAGGTATATTGACTCACAGTTGCTATATAATACTAAAATTAAGTCAGTATTAAACTGAAGTAATTGTGAAAAGTTGAAAATGATTATTGTAACCGCCAGTAAAACCACAAAAACAAACAAAGAAAAAACACCTAAAAAATACAGCTAAAAAATCAAGTGTAACTGAAATAGTACACTAAAAGTATTTGGTTAACAAAAGGAAGCAGTAAAGCAAGAACAGAGAAACGAATTGTCATGAGAAATATAGAAAAATGGTAGACATGTTGTTGTGAGGTGCTGAATTGAGTCAGTTCTAACTCATAGTAATCTTATGATATATCAGAACAAAATGTTGCTCAATCCTGTGCCATCTCATGATCATTGGTATGTTAAGTCCATTGTTTTGAGTTTTGTGTCAACCTATCTCATGGAGGGTTTCCCTCTTTTTTGCAGACCTCTAATTTATCAACCATGATGTCCTTTCTAGCAATGGTGTTTCCTGGTGGTGTGTCCAGAATAAGCGAGCCAAAGTCTCACCTTCCTCACCTCCAAGGGACATTCTGGATGTATTTCTTTTAAGACTCATTTGTTCATTCTCTTGGTAGTTCATGGTATATTCAACACTCTTCGCTGCCAACACCACAATTTGATTTCATCAATTCTTTTCTGTCTTCCTTTTTCATTGTCCAGCTTTCACATGCGTACAGGCAATTGAAAAGATATGCCTTGGGTTAGTGTAGTCATCAAAGGACATCTTTGCTTTTTACAACTTTAAAGAGGTCGTTTGATGTCTTGACTGCTATTTCCATGAATTCTCATTGTTGATCCAAGTAGAATGAAATCGTTGACAACTTCAATTTTTTTCTTCATTTGTCATAATGTTGTTTATTGGTCCAATTACGAGGATTTTTGTTTTCTTCACATTCAGGCATTATCCGTACTGAAGGCTGCAGTCTTTCACCTTCATCAATAAGTACTTCAAGCCGTCTTCATTTTTGGCAAGCAAGATTGTGTCATCTGCATATCACAGGTTGTTACTGAGTCCTCCCCTTATCCTGATGCTGCATTCTTCTTCATTTAGTCCACCTTCACGGATTATTTGTTCATCATACAGATTGATGATTGAAGATGAAACAATACAACCCCGTTGCACACCTTTTCCAATTTTAAACCTCGCAGTATCCCCTTGTCCCGTTTGAACAACTGACTCTTTATCTGTGTACACGTTCCACATGAGCACAATTAAATAGTCTGGAATTCCTATGCTTCAGAATATTGTCCACAATTTCTAATAATCCACAAAGTCAAATGCCTTCATGTAGTCAATAAATCACAGGTAAACAACTTTGTAGTATTCTCTGCTTTCGGCCAAGATCCATCGGACATCAGCAATGATACCCCTTGTTCCACATTCTCTTCTGAATCTGGCTTGAACTTCTGGCAGTTTCCTGTCAATCTATACCTGCAGTCATTCTTAAATTATCTTCAGCAAAATTTTGCTAGTGTGTGATATTAATGATATTGTTGGATAATTTCTGCATTTCGTCTGATCACCTTTCTTTGGAATGGGCACAAATACAGATTTCTTCCAGGTGATTGGCCAGGTAGTTGTCTTCCAAATTTCTTAACATAGACAAGTAAGCACTTCTAATGTTGCATTTGTTTGGTGAAGCATCTCAATTGGTATTCCACCAATTCCTGGAGCCTTATTTTTAGCCAGTGGCTTCAGGGCAGCTTGAATTTCCTTTAGTATTAGAAGTTCATGATCATATGCTACTTCCTGAAATGGATAAACATCAACCAATTCTTTTTGGTACACTGACTCTCTGTGTTTCTTCCATCTTCTTTTGATGTGTCTGTGTCATTCAAGTTTTTTGCCCATAGAATCCTTCACTAACGCAACTCAAGGCTTGAATTTTCTCTTCAGTTCTTTTAGCTTAAGAAATGCTGATCATGCACTTCTCTATCTATTTTCTTTCTTTTATTTTATTGTACTTCAGATGAAGGTTTACAGAGCAAATTCATTTCTCATTAAACAATTAATACATATATTGTTTTGTACCATTGGTTGCCAATCCCATGACATGTCAACACTCTCCCCTTCTCGACCTTGGGTTTCCCATTACCAGCTTTCCAGTTCCCTCCTGCCTTCTCATCCTTGCCTTTGAGCTGGTGTGCCCATTTAGTCTCATTTTGTTTTATGGGCCTGTCCAATCTTTGGCTGAAGGTGAACTTCAGGAATGACTTCAGTACTGAGTTAAAAGGGTGTTTGAGGGCCATACCCTCAGAGTTTCTCCAGTCTCTGTCAGACCAGTAAGTCTGGTCTTTTCTTTTTGTGAATTAGAATTTTGTTCTACATTTGCCTCCAGCTCTGTCTGGGACCTTCTATTGTGATCCCTGTTAGAGAAGTCAGTGGTGGTTGCTGGGCACCAACTAGTTGTACTGGACTCAGTCTGGTGGAAGCTGTGGTAGTTGTGGTCCATTAGTCCTTTGGACTAATCTTTCCTTGTGTCTTTGGTTTTCTTCATTCTCCCTTGCTCCAGATGGGGTGAGACCAGTGGAGTATCTTAGATGGTGGCTCACAACTTGCTCTTCTCTTGGTGGTGCAAACAGTTAACATGCTTGGCTGCTAACTGAAGTTTGGCAACAGAGGTGCCTCAGAAGAAAGGTCTGGCAATCTACTTTTGAAAAATCAGGCTCTGAAAACCCTATGGAACACAGTTCTACTCTGTTGCCTTGAGTAGGAATGACATGATAGCAACCGGTTTTAACTTGATTGGTGAGAATCTCATATATATTGAGCCATATCCATGAACTAATGAAAAGGATTTTTTTTTTTCACCTAAAAAGCAAGAAACCCACTTCTCTCTCCATTTTCCATGACCTGGATTAGTAAACTGTTCAATCCTCATTTCTTATTCCTATTGGTAAACATGCTGCTCAGGACCTCTGTAAAAGGCAAGCCTGGCAACCCACTTGTTTTCTCTACTGTCTGGTAAACTCCAGTCTGCTAATGGTTGTGTTTGTGAGGCAAGTCCTTCCTTATAGTTGGCTGACTACACAAAGTTTGCTCTGAAGAATCAACTCTCCATACAGTCAGGGTTCATGGCCTATGGAGAACCATGGTCTTTATTTCGGCTTGCCAAGGAGGCTTTTACTTGGGGGAAAGTATTGGGTCTCCATTAATGAAGCTGATCTTTTCCTCCCCATGGAATCTCTAGGTGGTGCAAATAATTAATGTGCTTGAAAGTCTGGAGGTTTGGGTTCACCCAGAGGTGCCTTGGAAGAAGAAAGGCCTGGAGCTCTACTTTCAAAAATCAACCATTGAAAATCTTATGGAACACAGCCCTACTCCGACACACATGGGGTCAACATGAGTTGGAATCGACTCACTGGCAACTGGTTTGTTTTTTTATCTATTCTCCACTGATTGCAACCCAGAGGAATAGAGATATTATTTTTGAACTCTAAACTTTCAAGATTGTTTATGTCATAAAACTGAAAATATAATTTTAATGGAGAAATTCTGGCCCCAAGATTATTGGAAAATCATAATTTGATGTATAACAAAGCTTTTCCTTCATTTATTTAAAGGAAAAACAACTTCACGAAAATGCCAATTTTATTTAAGTAAGCTAAAAACAAGCAAACAAAAAGGAATAATAGCCTAAAACCTAAACCTATTGGCCTAGAATATCTATTCTTTGGGACTAGGCAAACCACCACCCAACATAATTGCAATTAAAAGTGATGACACTGGGGAGACGGCCCAAGATGGCAGCTTAGTCTCACACACCTTGCCATCCCCCTGCAGCAAAGAACTGAGAAAATAAGTGAAACAGAAACAGATGACAATCTGGACATCCAGAACAGCAAATGGAAGGATGAAGAATTAGATCAAACACCAAAGGGAAGGAAAAACTGAATGAAAACACTGAATGTGGAGGCTTACGGACTCAAGGTGCCCTACCAGGTGGCCTGGCCCAGCATAGCCATCTTGACACAAAGTGAGATCATTCTCAGGTGAAGAGTACAAGAAGGCAACTTCACAGAATCGCCATTGGGAGACAGAGATACTGGGTAAACAAACCAGAAGCAAAGCAAGGTGAACAGAGCATAAACTAGATTTAAGGAAGGAAAGTGCAGGAAGGCAGGCAAGAGCCCTAGGGATCCAGGCAACCACAGAATACGGACAGAGCCAGAAGACAGGGACAGAACTACTCACCAGAGGCATTACCTGATCATTTGGACAGGTGGCACTGGCGGAGTGGAGGATCCTTGGAGTGGCAGTTACAGATCCCTCACCTCACCAGACTCTGGAAAGCCCTCCACCCTAGCATTTGATTGGGCCTGGGTGCTGATCACTGGCTACCTCTGTGCAGAGTGCCCTGGTGCCCATGCCAGAGACTGGAGGAACACACTCCACACTTCCTCCCTACCCTCCCTCGCAGTGACCAGTGGTGAGTCCCCCTCAGCCACCCACTGATCTAGGGCATGCACACTCCCATGCCAATGGAACTGCTACTGGAGACTTGTGCCTGCCTGCCTCAGCTCATTCCTGGGCAGTCACGCCTGCTGGGGACTTGGGGTGCATGGGGCATGCTCACACACTGTTGGACCTGCAAATGTAGGCTTGTGCTCACTTACACCGACGATGCCTGCACCGCCCTGCCCACCCAACAACTGGTAGTGTGAGTTCCCATGCCACCCACCTAGTGACCAGTGACCCACGCACCCTTGTCCTCATCACCCAGCAACCAGCTGTGTGCACACAGAGCACACAACCCAGTAACCAGCAAGAATGCTGCCTGCATCCATGCCCAGGTGTCTGGCTGGACAGACACATCACCTCACCAGCAACACCAGTCACATCCCAACAGGCTTCAGTTACACCACTGCTAAACAATGAACAGGAGATCCTAGTGCCATCAGCTAATGTCTACCAGCTACAACACCACACATCTCACATCCAAACAGTTCCTGCAGGCCATGTGCACTTGCAATGAAACTCCTTGATACCTCACCACCTACTAAGCCATCAATTCTTCCACACACAGTGGACCTACCCTATTCAATTGGGTACCACTCCCTCACAATAGATATGGAGAAGTCCTGCCGTAATCTCTAGAGAATGCACTAATTGCTAGCACCAAACTTAATGCCTCGGAGACAGGAGACAATAACAAATCATATGAAGAAACAGGATAAGATGGCTCAAACAAGTGAGCAAAATAAAGGAAGGACACAGAAGTAGAACTGAATCAATGGAAGGAAGAATCAGTGAAATAGAGGACAAATCCCTTAATGCTAATTTGTATGAGGAATGCTCAGAAAAAAGAATGAAGAAAAATGAAGAAAGCCTAAGAGTTATGTGGAACACTATCAAGAGGAATCTTTTTACATGTAACTGGAATTTCAGAATAGGAGGGGAAAAAAAAAAGCACAGAGGGAATTGTGGAAGATTTATTGGCAGAAAACTTCTCTAATATTAACGAACCCCAATCAGTATAGACCACAAAAGAAACTCACCAAGACATAGCATAATCAAATTTACCAAAACCAAAGACAAAGAAAGAATTCTGAGAGCAGCTCAAGAAAAACAAGATATCACCTACAAAGGGGAACCAATAAAACTAAGTTCTGATTTATTGTCAAAAACAACGCAGATGAGAAGGCAACAGGATGACACGTATAAAACCCTGAAAAAAAACTGTCAACCAAGAATCATACATCCAGCAAAACTGTCTTTCAAATATGATGGTTAAACTAGAACATTCCCAAATGAACAGAAATTAAGAGAATTTGTAAAAACCAGAACAACCTAGCAAGAAATATTAAAAGCAGTCCTTCACACAGAGAACCAACAACATCAGACAATAACCTGAGATGAAGATACACAATAGCATCACTGAGATAGCAATCCAGATAAAGAACTTTCAAAAGCAAAATGAAGCTGCAAAACAGAAAACAGGGAAACAGAGATGTAAATCTGTAAATGCCAACAACTTCAAAACAAAAAGGGGAAATAAATGGTGTAGTTACAGAACTTCCATATGGAGAGGAAGTCAAGGCCATATCAAGATATAACAGACTGTTACAAGTTTAGGAAGATAAGGGTAATTTTAAGAGTAACCACAAAATAATAAATCTATTCACAAAAATAAGGAAGAAGAAAATCAAAAAGGCTCAGCAAACACAAAATCAACAATAACAAAGGAAATGAAAAGAAAATCCATGAACAAAAAGAACTCAGCACAGAAAATTAAGCAGAACAAAGAAACCGTTAACATTACCAAAAAAAAAAAAAGTATAACAAAATGGCAGCCATAAATTCATAATTATCAATAATCACACTGAATGTAAATAGTTTAAATGTACCAGTCAAGAGACAGACAGTGGCAGAATGGATTAAAAAAAAACATGACCCAACAATATATGTTACCTACAAATGACACACCATAGAAACAAAGACATAAATAGTTGAAAAATCAAAAGATGGAAGAAAATGTATCAAGCAAACAGTAATCAAAAAAGAGCAGAAGTGGCAATAACCTCTGATAAAATAGACTTTAAGTCAAAATCCATTATAAGAGACAAGGAAGGTCATTATATACTGATTAAAGTGTCAATCCACCAACAGAACATAACCATAGTAAATATTTATGCACCAAACAACGGAACTCCATAATTCATAAAACAAACTCTAACAGAATTGAAAAGAGAAATAGTTCTACAACAACAGTAGAAGACTTTAACATACCACTTTTGATGATGGACAGAACAACTAGAAAGAAACTCAACAAGGATACAGAAAATCTAAATAACATAACCAACTTGACCTCATAGACATATACAGAGCACCCCAGCCAAGAGCACACGGTACACATTCTTCTCCAATGCATATGGATCATTCTCCATAATAACCCGTATTTTAGGCCACAAAGTAAACCTCAATAAATTAAAAAAAAATTGAAAACATACAAAGCATCTTCTCTGATCATAATACTTTAAAACTAGAAATCAATAACTGAAAGAACACGGGAAAAAATACTTACATGGAAACTGAATAATATCTTATTTAAAAACTACTGGAAAATAGAAGAAATTAAGAATAAAATTAAAAAATTCCTAGAATCAAATAAGAATGAAAACACACTGCACCAAAACCTTTGGGACACAGCAAAAGCAGTGCTCAGAGGAGAATTTATAGCATAAATGTACACAAAAAAAAAAGAAGAAAGGGCCAAACTCAATAGCATAAGCCTGCAACTCGAACAAAAAGAAAGGGAGCAGCAAAAGAAGTCCATAGTCACTAGAAGAAAGGAAATTATAAAGATCAGAGCAGAAATAAACAAATTAGAAAACATAAAAACAACAGAAAGAATAAGACTAGAAGTTTGCTCTTTGAGAGGATCAATAAAATTAACAAAGAGCTGGCTAAATTGACAAAGGAAAAAAGGGAGAAGATTCAAACAACCAAAATAAAAAATGACATGGGTGACATTACAACAGAACCAACTAAGATAAAAAAGATGGTAAAAAATTATGAAAAATTATACTCCAACAAATTTGAAAACCTGGAAGAAATGGACAAATTTCTAGAAACACACTACCTACCTAAATTAACACATATAGAGGTAGAAAATTTGAAAAGACCCATAACAAAAGAAGAAATGAAAGAGGTCATAAAAACAAAAAACTCCAAACAACAAAAAAGCCTAGCCAAGATGGCTTCACTGGAGAATTCTACCAAACATTCAGAGAAGAGTTGACACCAATTCTACTCAAACTATCCCAGAACACAGAAAAGGAAGGATACTCTCTAGTTCATTCTATGAAGTTGGCACAATCCTGATACCAAAGTCAAGCAAAGACACCTCTAAAAAATAAAATTACAGACTAATATCCTTCCTGAATACAGACGCAAAAATTCTCAACAAAATTCTAGCCAACAGAATTCAACAGCATATAAAAATAAAAAAAAAAATTATGATCAAGTGGGATTCATACCAGGGATGCAAGAGATGGTTCAACATTAGAAATTCAATCAATATATAATTCAACACATAAATAAAACAATCTCAATCAATACAGAAAACGCATTTGATAAAATCCAATACTTTTCCTGATAAAAACTCTCAGCAAAATAGGAATAGAAGGGAAATTCCCCAACATAATTAGAGACATACATGCAAAAACAACAGCCAACATTACTCTCAAAGGAGAAAGATTGAGAGCGTTCTCCTTGAGAACGGGAAGGAGACAAGAGTGCCCTTTATCACCACTCTTATTCAATATTGTACTGGAAGAACTAGCTAGAGCAATAGGGCAGAAAGGGAAATAAAGGGTATGCAAATTGATAAGGAAGAAGTAAAACCATCCTTACATGCAGATGATATGATCCTATACACAGAAAATACCAAAGACTGCACAAGACAGGTACTGGAACTAATAGAAGGATTCAGCAAAGTGACAGGGTACAAGATCAACACACAAAAATCAGCTGGGTTAATATGATCCAGCAATCCCACTCCTAAGGAATATATTCTAGAGAAATAAGAGCTGTCACACGAGTAGACATATGCACACCCATGTTCACTGCAGCACTGTTCACAATAGCAAAAAGATGGAAACAACCTAGACGCCCATCAAAAGATGAATGGATAAACAAGCTATGGTACATACACACAATGGAGTATTATGCAACGATAAAGAACAATGATAAATCTGAGAAGCATCTCATAACATGGATGAAACTGGATGACATTATAATGCTGAGTGAAATAAGTCAATCACAAAAGGACAAATATTGTATGAGACCACTACTGTAAAAACTCATGAAAAGGTTTACATGTTGGTTATGAGGGATGGGAGGGGTGGGATGGAAAAGCACTAAATAGACAATAGATAAGTGGTAACTTTGGAGAAGGGTAAGACAGTACACAATACTGTTGAAGTGAGCACAACTTGTACAAGGAAAAGTCATGGAAGCTCCATAGACATATCCAAACTCCCTGAGGGACTTAATTGCTGGGTGGAGGGCTGTGGGGACCATGGTCTCAGGAACATCTAGCTCACTTGGCATAACAGTTTATAAAGAAAATGTTCTACATTCTACCTGGGTGAGTAGTGTCTGGGGTCTTAAAAGCCTGTGAGCAGCCATCTAAGATACTCCACTGGTCTCACCTCTTCGGGAGCAATGGAGAATGAAGAAAACAAGATACAAGGGAAAGA